AGCGATAGAGTACCTGCCTAGCAAGCATGAAGCCCTGAGTTCTAACTCAGTATCTCTAAGAAGAGAGGAGGGAGACATTAAAACACGTCTCCACTCAGCATCACCATAATTCATTAAAAATCATCCTCTTAACACCAAAATCGTACATCAGTCATAATTTTAGAATAAAGGATGGTCTTTTCAGTGGGATACATCTGACTTCATGAAAAACATCGTAATACTATTTTTGACATCTTGCCTTTGTCCTTCAGTTGCTGACTGGCGAAAGTGTATTCGCAAACCAGCCTCATGGTCTAAGCTGGCACTGAACACTGCTAGTGAAATGAAATCCCCTTTTGCTGAAGTTTTCTTGGGTCCCACCCACTTTGTTATGTCCCCCAACCACCCTTTACCCTTCATCCATTCTGTTCAAGGAAAGCTCAGCTTCATCCCAAGGGAGAGTGTGGGGGGGGGGGGGGGAAACAGAGATGAGAGAAGAAATGGCCAGGCTGCTGAGCATTCGCAGCAGTGGCTAGATTCCTCTCCCTGGGCCTTTCCTAGATTCTCCCCTGAGACTAACTTCCCCTCTCTTCTCCTGCCTCTGGTCAGGCTACACCATCCCCCTCTGTGTAAGACGTCCCTTCCTGCAGCTCTTCCCAGTCCCTCCTGTGAACAGCCACCTGTTTCCATCGGAAAACACATTCCTTATGGAAAGATGAAAACACTCAGGCCGAGGCCAGGGGGAGTGCTGAGCTCTGAGTTACACACAGTCAGATTCTGAATGCAGCTCTCCAGGGGACTGGCCGAGTGTTGTGCTGGCTGCTGACCCCTCCCACCGCTGTCACCCTCTGGGGCATGTTGAAGGACACTTTCTACCACTGCTTCTCACTGCAGTTCGTTCACATTCTATCTTAAACCTCTTCTTGGATGGCTATGAAAGAAATCTCCAACACAAGAACAGTTTCCACTTTTGTCTGTAAAGGCTAAAAACACGAGAGTGGTGAAATTCCCATGATGCCTTGAATTCTGTTGACATAAATGTGCCTGGTATAACTGGTTGAGAGTAAAGGCTTGTATCTGAGTGAGAAGCATAATCAGACAGTAGGAGAAGGGTAACCAGTGTAGGTCCGTAGGTGCCTGTCAAGCAGGGGCAAATAGGAATGGACAGCAGTTATTTACAGAGGGAGAGGGCAAACAGGAAGTGCAGCCATTGCAAACTGTGTTGCAAGCATGCTTTATTTGCAGGAACTTACTACACCTCTCTGAGCAGGGGCCCAAGCATGTCCAGCAAACTCAGACCTTTTCAGGACATTTAATTCTTCAAAAGTCACCAATGGGGTTGGAAGTATGACTCAGGTAGTAGAGCACCAGCCAGTGAGCAAAAAAGTGTCAGATACCAAGTTAGAGCCCTGGTCTCAAATAAAAAAAAGTAATTTTTCAAATGCTCTTCTACAAAGGTAGAATTTGTTGTGTCTACATTTTTACCTAGCAATCTGGCTTCTAAATAAAGGCACTATGTACACACACACACACACACACACACACAATTATAATTAAATTTAATTATCTCAATTTACACACGTGTGTATGTGGTGTATATGAGTTAACACATTATCAACATATCAGCACTCATAAGAAAACTTCAGCTGTTGAAGCATTTACCTGTATCACTTGACTGATGATTAGCTTTTCCACCACCTGACTTCGGCCTTGATCCTGCTCTCTACAGGCAGAGTCTGCCCCGGCAGGCAGGACTTCCCTGGGGCTCTGTTCCTTGCCAGGGTCCCAGGCCCAAAGCCTGAAAAGTATTGCCCAACGAAGCCTCTGTTTCGGCCTCTGAGCATGAAGGACTTGTCCCTCTGGTGCAATCCCCTGCTTGGCTGCTGAACCACTGGTCAATCAACAGTTACATGTTGGGTTCCTGTAAAAGGCTCCCACAAGTCCTGTCTGGCCATTCTACATATGGCCCATCAGAGACCATGCACCAATTCTCAAGGACAGGGGAAGTTTGCATGGCTAAGCTTGGAGAGCAAGGTCATCATGGGAAAGAGAAATAAAGATGCAAGAACAAGGAATGGAATAAGAAGATGACACTGGGTTAGCTTAGAGAAATCACGAACAAAAAGCCAGGGAAAGTATATTTTCCTCTGATTTCCCAAGTGAGAAACCTCTGCGACCCAAAGGAAATTTACATCTTACAGTATTATATCAAGTTTGTTTAGTCCAGAGCCCTATAACCCCTAGTGTGCATTTGTGGAACAGTCTTGTGTCTCTACTATAGTCAAGGAGTTTACTTAGGGTTTAATATTATTTACTATTATTTTAATTTGATCATCTTAGCTACAGATATTTCAATTTCTGTCTTGACATTTAAGTAGAAAATGTTAAAGACCAAAAAGTGGATATAAATAAAAATGAATTATTGAATTGCTGGAATTTATCATGTGGAAATCCATGTGCATGTTTAATCCCCAAATATATATGTATATATAATAGACAGGCTGATAAATTAGATCTGTTGATAGCTGAGATACACATTTATGACTATTTCTCTTCATGCTTTAATATGCTTTGGTCATATTCAGTTGCCTTTCTTGCCTCCGCTCCTTCTTTTCTCCACATCCTTATACCCCTCCTTTACTTTCATGTACTTTTATCCCTTGAGATTCCACATATAAATGAGAACATACCATACTTGTCAATGTGACTGGCTTCTTTCACTTAGCACGATGATCTCCAGTTCCATCCATTCTCTCTCCTCTAAATGACATCATTTCCTTTTTTTTTTAAATAGCTGAGTAATAGTTCACATTTTCTTTATTCTTTCATCTATTGATGGGCACTTCGGTTGAATTTGTATCTTGATTATTATGGATCCAGCTACCATAAGCATAGGTGCACAGGGTTCTCTGTTGTATGCTGATTTACATTTCTTTGGTTATGTTCCCAAAAGTGTCATATCAGGATCATGTAGTAGTTCTATTTTCAATCTTTGGAGGAAAGTTCTTGCTCCTACAACGTGCTTGTCTGTGCATAAACGGATTCTCTTAAGGGAGCAGGGGAGGCAGAGGCAAATGTGGGCGCAGGTGTGACCGCTTTAAGGAATGAAAGGTATAGGTTGTAGTAGAGTGAAGGGATAGAAGGTAGGCTTTGCATTCCTCACAGTTGGCTTAGACTTCGCATTCCTCACAGCTGGTTTAGGTATCTCCTCGTTTTGCAACACTTGACATTTTCCCATGTTTTTTCTGTACAAAATATCCCAGGTTTGCTTAATAACTTGTTTCATCTGGCTTTGACTTTACAGTGCCTTTATCTTCCTGGAAATGGCTGCTCTTGGCTAGTGAATTTCAGGGTATTTAGAGGAAAGGGCATAAATTAATGGATTAGTGGATGTGTTGCTGAGTTTGTTCACAGATGTTTTTTTTCAATAGCCTCTTGAGATCAAATATCAGAGTCTGCCGGAAAATAACGTTAGGTATTCCTAATGCCAAGAGAATGGTTTGACCTCTTGGCAATACCCTCTTTCCAAATGTTTCGTAGCATGCAAGTATGTCCAAGTATAAATAGACAAAATGTTTGCTTTGAGGCTTGTTTTGTGGACTTACTCTTTTATTTAATTTTTATTTTCCTTTTTGAGTCGAAGTGTCACTCTGTAGTCCAGATCAGGCTGGAAAACTCATTCTCTGAAACCTGGGTTGGCTCTGCATTTACTTCAACCTCCTACTTCAACCTCCTGAGTGCTGGGATTACAGACATGTGGAGTGGCATAATACCTACTCTTTTTTTGTATTTTAATACTTTTTTATTGTAAAAATACTGTACAGAGGGGTTACAGTTACATGAGCAAGGAAATGAGTACATTTCCCATCAAGCATTGTTGCCTCCTCCTCTTTTTCCCCTACCATCCCTTCCCTCCCACCTCCACAACTACACCACCCTCCCCACCCCCAGCCGAAATTGTAAAGTTTTTCAACATAGTGTCTTGTAACTACTAACATCATCCTGGGATAGAGAGAACCCTTGGTTCACATTGCCCCTAGTATCACCAGTCCAGTCCCAAGATGCACCCCTGTGGCAACGTTTTGGGGGGAGGAGGGGGAGGGATTAAGATAAGTTCATTAAGAAGTTTATCAAATCAGACAGGTTAGCATTTTTCTAAGACCATATCAAAGAAATGCTAAGAGGTTACTGGCTGGGGAAAGTCGCTATGAAGCACAAAATAAGCTATAGGCTGGGGCAGCCCACCGATTGGCCCTGTCCAGCCTCATCCCTGTCCTTCTGGTAATGAAATCCATGAGAGGACCAATCTGGGGTGTTTAGTAATGGAGGCTCAAGACTGACCAGGCAGAGTGGGAAGGAAGGACCGGCAGCGGGAGGTGCATGCTTTCTTCAAACAGCGCCTAATGGCAAACTTATGAGGGTGCTTCTGCCCCTGGATGCGACAGACGTTGGCTTAGGGACAGGTCAGTTGTGAGCAGCATAAATTGGCTTCACCCAATGGAAGTTCATTTTCTTGAGAGGCCAGTAAGTAGCAGAGACCCGCAGCTCAGCAGTCACCGTAAACAATTGCTAAGAACCGAGCGAATGTTTTCTCTCTATGGTCGGCCCCACTTACCAGCAGATGGCTCCATTGTATCACCAGGAAGTGCACACGTGTAAGGTTAATGGCGTAACCAAAGGGAAAAACAGAACAGCCCTTAGACCTTTAGAAACAGAGTTCCTTCTTGATGGGGTTCATCACACGCAGCTGGGACAGGGGGAATTTTCGCAAGCAAGCAGGACAGACCCAGAGAGGCTGTGAGGTCAGAATGTTAATACAGAGGAGCTTTCCCTTTTCATGTTTTCATGCTGCTCTGTAGTCGTCACATTAGCCACAAAACAGTTAGGAAGTGATTTGACTCTCTACAGAACCCGTAATGATTTCTATACCAGTGTGGCACCATCTGCTTGTAGCACAAGAAAAGCAACCTTAGAACAATGTTGAGAGGCAGTATGTATACATGTGTTACATCTGAGTTACATGGGCTCATCTCTGGGGAAGAATGATCCAAGACTCTTACCCAGCGATGCCTTGTCTTTGGAACACTTTTGAGAAGAGGGTGAAGGTAAGAGGGACCCAGGGATGTCTTTCTCAGAAGTCTTTCCTGATAGGTGGGTGTTCACCATGCAGTGATTTAGGTGACCCCTTCCACTAGGGAGAAACTTTGAGCCTTAACTTGTGACGTGAACAAGAGTTGCCCATGAATCAGATTCTGCAAGGACTCAGAGTAGCTTTCTAGTCCAATGCACTGAATTGTCAACTAAGATTGATGGTTAGTTTTAATTCTCTGTTATTACTGTTTAGAAAAAGAAGGATTAATGTGATCCTATGAATTAAGCCGCTCCTCAGTTCATAAAGTTGTTCAAAATGTGCTCAGGAAACTAATTGAAAATAATGCTTGGTTATTGTTTTAAAGAAAGAGTCGCTGGACACTGGGCAGATGACTTTGACTTCGGCCCAACTCAAGTACTTGGAGATTTGCCTGAAGGAAGCAGAAGAAAAGGCGAAAGCTTTAACCGAACAGGTAAAACCTGCACGGGGGCTGGACATATAGGTTCTTCAGTCACAGGATGGAAAGTGAATCTCTGACATATTTTAGCCTCTGTCTTGGGGGCTTCCATATGTACTTGGACACACACTCACACACACACACACACACACACATACACTTCCCTTACATACATGTTATGCTCACAAGCTTAAGCATACACCATGCAGGAGCATGCACACATATACACACATGTATGCACACACATATGTGCACATATAACCATCCTTGTAAACCTAACAGGACTTATTTTAGCCTATATGGAACTTTTCAGCCTTAAACTTTTTTCCACATTTACATCTTCTTTGATTATTATTATTATTATTATTTTGGTCATTCACCACAAACCATGTAATCCTGATTACAGTGCGTGGTTTTCCTAAGAAAGGCGCATCAGCATTTATAAAGAAACAAGCCCAAGACACATAGGGATGACACAGAATAATTTTGGTAAGCTATCTGAAGACAGCTTACTTGGAAGAGTGATTCTCAAACATTCACTTCCTTCTTGGAGTCTGAAGACTCTCGGAAGCCAGGCAGGTCACAGAGTGGAGCTTGGCTTGCGTCATCAGCCTGGGCACTGTCAGAGTGGCCGGTGCCTGTCATGGGCCGCAGATCGCTGACCTCAGACATGGCGGCTGTAGCTAGCAGAAAAGCCCAGATGGGAGAGCTGAGCCATTTCCCAATGACATTAGTAGTGAACTATATGTCATTACCCCCACCCCACACCTGCTTCTCCAAGCTGGATTCCAGCCCAGGGCCCAGGGCCACCAACACTCACTGTTAGTGAAAGTCAGTGGAGAGAACAGGAAAGAGGAGACCTCAGTATAGCAGCATGCTTGATTAATTTCCCAAGGACTGGTATAGACTGTTGAGAAAATAGTGTCTGCACTCCTTAGAATATTTTTTCATTTTCTTTAAGTAGTAGTACAAAGGGGTTTCAAGTCAGCACCGTTTGTAAGTACACTGCATCTTGATCCATTGGTCTACGTCCCTCCCAGTAACAGTGTGTATTCCAGCTTCTTGGTAATCATTTTGTGAGGCTGTGAGATATTGTTCAGGGGAGTTGCACATTGGACTCCTCCCCACCCCCCCTGCATATATCATATACCATTTTCCATTAGCGTTTGACAAGATTTTTCTGCAGGAACTAGGGGAAAGAGGTAGTTTGTATTGTGAGAAAAGAGCTCCAGTTTGCATGCAGTGGAGTACGTGCCGATTGTTCTTTGTGCCTGACACAAAGAAGTAGATTCATTCTCCTTTCAACTTACAAAAAAATAAATAAATGTGTCCTTAACTTTAGGGTGTGTTTATTGTTTGTCACTAAATGTGACTGATGCTAGGGCTCACCAGGGGATGTTTGTCTATTAATAAAAGTATGTAGCTTTTTAAAGAAAGTTTCCATCTCAGGTCCGCGTCATGGCTCAGGACTGCCAACTGATTTTTATGTTTGTTTTCTCTGAACCAGACAAAAGCAAACCTCAATCTGTGGCAGAATTACGAATTTCACAAAAAATAATGACGATACAAAGGAGGGAGTAACAATGCTCGATAGGAAATGGACTCATTACCTTACTCATGTAACTGTAACCCCTCGGCACAGTATCTTTACAATAAAAATATATATTTAAAATAGTGATGATGGACTTTAGCCACCATTTCAAAGCATGCATACACACACACACACACACACACACACAGACAGACACCTAAGAATTTAAGAGCTTCCAATCTGGGAAGGATTTTTGCATGACTGACTAAAGTAAGCATTCCCTATGCTGAGACATAGGTTTATTTTTTTATACTTGAATGATTTCTATGATTTCTTATTCAAATAAGTCAAATTCCTTAAAAAAATGAAATACAAATAGCCCCTAATATTTAGTACCCTTAACTGTATGGCCCTTTTCCACAACCCCAGACAATTAGATGTACTTGTTCAACTTTTTTAGCAGATTAAGTATATGAAATGGAAGTTGGATTTCATTCAACTTCTTTGTACCTTTGGGTAGCAAGATGGATATACAGAGTCTTCTCTCACAAAATAGCTCAAGGACAACAGAATCGCTAAAAGTGGATATTTTCTCGACTTCAACATGAAGTTCACAATAACATTGTGTTTAAGGGCTTTGTGTCTTAATGTACTAAAATACAATTCTGGAAGTTTCAGATTTGCATAACTGAGTGAATTTAATTAGAAGTTGGCAATGATTTGAGCAAAAGGAAAATATGATGTTGAAAAGCGTATTGCAGGCATTTTCAATATTGCATTTTTAATTAAGTTGGACATTTTGTTAGACTTGGCTGCCTCCTCTGCTACTGTTGGAACAGATCAACCAGGTTTCAAAGGATTTAACCCTGAGATTTTTTTTTTCTTCCCAAGTTTTTAGTCTAGTCTTACCCTTGAAGAGATAAAAAAGGGTAATAAGCAGCAGCATGTGGCCTATTTTCAAATTTAAATCTCTGTTTTAAAAACAGATAGGGAAAGCACACAAGTGACCTTTCGTAAGAATGTTAGCTAGAACAGTTCAGAATGGAACAGAACGGATGTCTGTCACCAACAATCAAGCATTTGTCCACTGGGTGCCACTGTCTTCCTTGACAGTTTCTACCATTAAGCAACAGCAGAGAAAGATATAGATATATATTTATCACTAACAAAGATGACTCTGTGTACGTGTGTGTGTGTGTGTGTGTGTGTGTGTGTATACACCTCTGTGAGTGAATGTTTTCATCTGCATCTGTTAAGACTCCTTTATATGTCATTAATTTAGGATTTGTTATAAGCATGCTAGAATTGCTAGCTGGCTTTTACCAATAACTCAAGTAATGTACGTTGCTGTTCTGTGGCTTAACACTGGCCCAGGTGGACAGACAGGGCTGAAAGGGCAGAAGAAATGACAAGTCAAAGGTTGGTGTTGGAACAAAGGAGTGGAGGCTCACAGTGTTGCCAACCAGTGGACCTTGTCTCTGAGAAAGGGGAAATGTTTGTCGTTCTCCAAAGTCTACCTCTTGGCTTTGCTTTTTCAAGAACACAGAATGAACTCTGAAATGGGAAGTACAGGTCCTGTTGTTGTCATCTACATTAAGCAACTGTGGGTCTCATGCCTCAGTTTACTTAAACTGCTTTTTCTTCGTGAAAAAGAGGGAAAAGAAAAAAACCATAAGGAAATCAGGAGATTGTGGTCACCTTCCCCAGGTGAGATCAGCAGTCAACTCTGGCTATCCATTATCCTCTATTGCTCTGGAGTCATGTCACTATTGTCAATATAAAAGAAACACTAGAGCAGGATGCTTTCCAATTAAGACATATAATTTAAACTTGTCAAGGCTGTGAACGAAATCACTAGACACTTCAGCTGGAGCAGAAAGGATGACTAGATTCCAGCTCAGGTCCTGGGTTATCATAACTCCAAATGTCTCCACAATTGATGTGAAAAAAAAAATACCTGATTATATTTCTTTTTTTTTTGTCGGTCATGGGGCTTGAACTCTGGGCCTGGGCGCTGTCCCTCAGCTCTTCAGCTCAAGGCGAGCGCTCTACCACTTGAGCTACAGCACCACTTCCGGTTTTCTGGTGGTTTATTGGAGATAAGAGTCTCACGGTCTCTCCTGCCCCGGCTGGCTTTGAACCGCGATCCTCAGATCTCAGCCTCCTGAGTAGCTAGGATTACAGGCGTGAGCCACCAGCGCCCAGCTCTGATTATATTTCTTATAGGTTAAACTCAGTGAGAAGAAAACCACATTCCTGGGAATGAGTAGTAGATAAAGAAAAGGATAGGCAACGAGGAAGAACATTAAAAGTGTTAAGAATGTGAAGAGAGCCAGACGCCAGTGGCCCACGCCTGAATCCTAGCTACTGAGGAGGCTGAGATCTGAGGATCAAGGTTTGAAGCTAGCCCGGGGAAGGAAAGTCCGTGGGACTCTTATCTCTCATAAAACCACCAGAAAATCTGAAGTGGAGCTGTGGCTCAATGTGGTAGAGTGCAAGCCTTGAGCGGAAAAAGCTCAGGGACAGCACCGGCCTACACTCTGAGTTCAAGCCCGTGACCACCACCACCAACAACAACAAAAGGAAAGGAAAGAAGAAAAGTACCATTTTTTTGGGAGATGCTCATAAAAAGTAGCTTATGCCTTTGTGCTAGCTTCTATTACCAATAGATGTAGGAAGATCTGGTGATTGTCATTTAGGGCCACACAAGTAAATTGACCCTATGGCTTTTCTACGGAGCCAGATTCTAAGAAAATGCCAAGCAAACCAGGAGTTTCACAATGCAGCATGAACGCAGACAGCCCCAGGACAGAGTTCAGCAGGCGACATTCCTGCGAGCCAGAGTTTCCCCCACTTACCAAGGCCTTCTGGTTTTCCTGCGCCCAGCTAGAAAACCCAGGCTTTTTTTTCCCTACTATTCTGTTTGCAAGCCTTAGGTTGTTGGGCATTTCACTCCATGCCTCTAGCTACTGTTGTGTCTAAGAGGAGCAGATAAACATACTACTATTATGGGATAATCGTCAGACTTCTGATGAGATAGGTAACGGTGCCTTGGTAGATGCTATGATCTGCAAAAGGGTGTCAACTCAAAAACCATGCCTTGCAATCTAACCTCCAATATCAAGACATTTGAAGGTAGGGTGCTTGGAAGGTGGTGAGATCATGAGGGTGGAGGGCTGGTGCATTTACCAGAGGCCTGAGAGAGCACCTTTGCCGCTTCCACATGTGGACAGAGAAAGAAGGTGAGCCAGGCTAGCTGGGCTCTTACTAGACACCAGATCTTTGGCACCTTGGTTGTGACTCACAAGAACCATAAGACATAGATTTCTACTCAGTATATGACATTTTGTCCTATCAGCCCAGATGGACTGTACTGAAGGGTCTCAATGGACCTTCAGTCAGGATCCAATTTATCTTGACTCTCATCCATGTCTTAAGAGAAATGTATCATCCTTTCCATGTCTTGGGCCACAGAAATTATTCA